GGTTAGATTGTAAAGATTTGGGCCCAAATCATTTTTTTCAGCAATCTTGTTTTTGAATTTTTATCAGAGAATTACACATGCAATTTTTTCAAGTTCATTTTTGAATTTATATATTGTTTTTAAGTTTTTGAAGTATGTGATGTAAAGATGTAGCCTATTGAAGTAAAATGTTTCACTTGTTTTATTAGGGAAGCAAAGTAGGGAGTGATTTGAAAATTTTGTTTAACTGTTATTTTTTTTATATAGTAATAAATTTTGGTTGTGTTTTTAAAGATAGTATGGGAAATCGAATTTGATTCGAGGATTAATTTTGTCTTGTTTTTCTTTCTACATATTACTTTAGAGATCAATTACATGACTTCACAAAAATAACTGTATTGGGAAATAATGTTTTAAATGTTTAAATGTTCCAATGGTATCCTTATTGAAATTAACAGTCTGGCAAATTTCGAAGACAAGACGGATTATGTATAAAAAGATTAAAGAATATTTTATTAAGATATATCTCGTTTTTTTAGATTTTTAATTATCAGGGACTTTAGTGTGAGACAAATTGTTTATTTTATTTTTTTCAGACTTAAATTGCAAATTACCAGAAATGAGAGACAACTGTTAAACTCATTATTTGTTTAGAATTCTTTAAAAAAGGTCATATTTGAATAATCTTAAGTAAATCAATCAGAAATTATTAAAGGTTTTGTTATTTAATCATATCGGATTTGTTAAGGTAACACATTCCAAACACTTCTCTTGGTTTCAAAAAATGTTTTTTTCTCGGTTTTTTTGTTTTGTTCTTAATGTGAATTTGAGAATTTATTTGAGAGTCTAGATCGTCTTTTATAAATCATATATTGTGTTTGTAAGTTATACATTTTGAGTAGGCTTCCTTTTACCCATCTCTCCACTGACCAACTGTGGACAAGGCTACAAGAACTTCATGATTCGCCATGTTATCTTCAATGAATGAATGAATGAATGATATTTATTGGCACAAAACGTACAGAATATTACAGGATGTATGTACAGGTGCTTCGTCATAAATAAAATTGTCCTTATAGAAGTCGTCTCTTTCCTTCTAGGTTAAATACATTTTAAAATCAATATAAGGAATATATTAAATACATTTAACAAAAAATGTACTATGTTTATAAATTGTAATAAAATTCAACAGTTTAATATACCAAAGGGAAAATTCAACAGTAACTATAACAGAGGATAAAACTAAGCTTACAACTATTTAACATAGTCTTAAATTAAATAAACAATATAAAACATTTGAGTATCAACAAGGTTTTAAAGCAGATTTTTTTTCAGTCAAAGCTATGGTAAGTAGGCATCCAAGACTATCATATCACATTTCAAAATCATTCAAAAAGTCGTTAACTTTATAATAGGCCTTTCTAATCAACAAGCTTTTCACCTTCTCTGAAAATTGTGTTGGGTTGAGGGTGTAACTTTTCATAGGGTTAGGCAATTTATTATAAAGTTTAATTCCCATATAGTAAATGCTTTTCTCCAAAGTTGTTGTGGAATGATGAGGGTACACAAGTAAGTTTTTGTTTCTTGTACTATAACTGTGACTGGTTTTTTCTTGAGAGTACCACATTAAATTGTTTCTGACGTGACAAAGTACCTCGTGGATGTATATACTTGGTACTGTCATTAATTTAAAACTTAAAAAAATACCTTTACATGAGGTTCTGCGTTTTTTTAGTGTCATAATTCTTAGAATTTTTTCCTGTGCTTTTAAAATAATACTTACTAATTCTGATGAGCCCCATAACATTATTCCATATTTTACTAATGGATAGAAATAGCCATAGTATAAAGTTAATTTTGTTTTCATACTGGTACAGTGGGTAAGGCAACTCATGTTGAAGCATATTGAATTTAATCTCTTACCTAACTGCATTATGTGTTCTTGCCATTTAAGATTTTCATCACAGACCACACCTAATAATTTTACAGATCTCTGGCTTTCTATATAATTTGGTTCCTATTGCTAGCCTTAGTACACCCTCTCTATTTTGAGAATTTCTAAAATGTATTATATTGGTTTTGGCAGCATTTAGCGAAAGCCCATTTATTCTAAACCAAGATTGGCGTAGCAATATAATCTTTACATTCTTTTACTAAGCTTATGGATATTTCGTCCCATCCAGTAGACTTTTTATTTGGCAAATTCTGTATAACTTTTATAATTTCCTTAATTTTTACTTCTCTGAAATTAAAATTTAACCCATCTGGAACTAATACTTTTTTACAACATTCCACTGCTCTTTCTGGCAAACTTTGGATATCTAGTTTTTGTTTGATGTTAAGTGCTGATTAAAATAGTTTGGAATAACTTTGGGGTCTTTGATAATGGTTCCATCGACTAATAATTCAGTTATATTGTTATCTTTTATTTTATTCATTCCCAACTCTCTCTTAATTACATTCCATGATGCTTTGCTTTTGCATTCTTGCTTGTTGTATAATGTATATACTGATTATTTGCGTTTTGCTTTACTTCCCTGACTACTCTAGTAAATATCTGTCTGTATTTTTTTGTAGTAGTTTTTTATCCCTTCACTGTTACTATCCTTTGCCAGCTTTGAGAGTCGTCTCTTGTTCCTACTTGAAACTTTTATACCTTCTGTTATCCACTTTACATCTTTCTTAAGTTTCTGTTTTATTGGCCTAACTGGGAACACTTAATTTATTAACATAATGAAATCTCTTAAAAAGTTATCATAGTTTTCATCTGCACTTTTTGCTGGTTGTACCTCCCAATTAAAGTTTATAATTTTGTTCTTAAATTCAGCAATTCTTTTTGCAGTAAAGCATCTCTTATTGGTTTGAGTTTTAGTTCTCCTATCATCTTTAAAGCTGGGCAAAGTAGTCCATATTGCATTGTGATCAGAAAGACCTCTATTTTTAACAAAAACTCGTTCTAGATTATATTTTTCATTTGTGATAATATTATCAATACAAGTTCCACTGATAGGCCTCGTTACCTCTTTAACATTAGCTTTAAATCCATTAAAATTGAGAATATTCAAAAATCCATCTGATGCTACCTTATCAAAGACATTAATATTACAATCAGTAGCAATTAGAACATTTAACCTGTTCTTAGCATTTAACTTGTTTAACAAATATTGCATTAAAAAAAAAACTAACTAATGTACTAATAAGGTTTATATTACCTGGCTACTGTCTCCGATCCTCGGTATAGTTTTAAGAAACTACAGCTGTTTCATGCCTTACAACTAATGTAAACTTATAAGGTACTCTATATAAAGAGACAATTAATGTTGGCTCTTCAAAGTTTAAAATTTCAATAATCGAACATTCAAAATAAAAATCTTCATTAAATGTTTTAAGGTCATCTCTAATTTTGTATTTGATACCTGCATTTTCTCTTATCAAAATTGCTGATCCTCACCTCTTGCCATTTTCCCTTGAGTAGAAATCAGCTAAACTAAAACCCTCAATTTTATTTAACAGATTTATAATTTCTTTACTCAACCAGTGTTCATTCAATGAAATTATAAGGTTTTTGAATTTACATTATTTAAAATTAAGCTTAATTCATCTAGTTTTTCCTTAATTCCTTGTACATTAAAGTGCATTAAATAATCCAAACAATACTATTCTTACAATCTAATATATAGCTACCTAACCTACTGAGGCCGGTGTTGTCATTCGTCCATCGTTTCCCTGTGTGGTGCTGCTGTGGCTTGTCTCCTCGTCTGTGGTTGGTTGTTCTGCGCCCCTCGTCAGAGATGGGTTGCCGTCTGGAATGGTTGCAGGTGTTGGGCTGGTGTCCCTCAAATCTTCCCCTGGTGCCATGCTGAAGTTGACATTCGAGAGTGCTCTATGGTTGCCATTTGCTGCTTTGGGATTTTCAGAAGCTGCTTTGATGATTAAGTTTGCTAACCATGTCTTGCTGTGTCTATTCAGATGTTGTCCGTGCCGAGTGTGTAGTTCCCTCCTGGCGAAACTCGATTGTACATCATCAACTAAACTCGATGTTATGTACATCCTCAACATCGTGGTTGGAGGAGGAGACTTCATCAAACTCAAAGAAAACTGGAGAAACGCAGCTGGGGGCAAGGGCTTTTAAGAAGAGGAGAACTTCAGGCTGCAGTACACTCAATCAATGGCAAAAGCAGTCCAACATCATCATCAATCAAAGTCGATTCATCATCAATGCTGTCAAAGAACGCTGGGTGGACTACAGACTATAGACACCGAAGTGGGAGACGTCGCAGAAGACATGGCTGTGGTCAAACATCTGAAGACCAATGACAATGATGGTTCGAAGAGGCTTTATCGACGCAACTGCTAAGGAAGTCAGCGAACAGTTGGTCAGTTCTTCCCCTCCTAAACCTTATTATAATTTAGTTTAGGTACAATTTGTTAAGGGTTTAATCAGATTTGTTATTAACTTTTTTTCTCTCTGTGGATGTATCTATGTAGTTGAGACGCTGGGGACATCGTCTGGAGGAAATGGGGGGATGTAAAGGAAGGGGTCAAATATTGTAAAGAGGAAGTGTTTGGCAATGTTGTGTGAGTAGGCTGGTAGTGTTGTTAAACAATAACTTGTTGTGCTGACCTACAGAAGGCTGTTGCTTTAAGTAGGCCAGTGCACTTGATCAGGGGGTCAGTTTTGGTGTGTAGTGTTTGTGCGGTGCACCAGAGGACGGGATCCTGCTGGGGGAGCTGGAGCTCAAGGCCCTTGGCCTTGGGTCCAGGTAAGACAATGTAAAGGGATTTCAAAATTGGGGTTTAGATTCTTTTCCAAATTGGGGTTTAAGTTACTAACTGATTTATACAGTTCTAGTCTACTCTACCTTTTTGATGGTAATTTAACTCTGTGTCCTTTGTGTTGTTTTGAGTAATTAATAAAGTTGGGTTTTGTAAGCGAGTGCTGAGTCTCATTCCTGAGCTACGTCACCCAAAGTAACAGGAGGTATGTCAAGGGGGAAATACCTACCGTTACAACTCCTTACCTCGCCATTAGAATGCCCAAGTGCTGAGTTCAGAATAAAGTCTGGAGGAGCGATAGCGTCCACTAGAGCTACAGCTTCAGGCTTTAACTGATCCAGAAGTTCCAAAATAGCTGATTGAATCAGCTGACTCTGCTCACTGTTCTGAATAAAGCCACCTGAAAACATAAAACAAATTAATAAAGAGTATCAGCAATCATACACACAGAAATACCCAGAGGGGGGTACAGTGGCGCGCTTGCGCCACTGGAGTTTTTGGGGGAGATTATTTGAGCGGATTTTTAAGGGGGATATTTTTTTGCCCGAAAATGTGTTTTAAAGTAGTTCACTATCAACACCAACAAAATTTTGCTATTCATAATTAAGATTACTTCTAAAAATGGTAAAAACGCACCTTGCCAGACAATCCTTAACATATACGGTAGTGTCGAATTTTACTTGCAATATATGTTTTGTTTGGCGGTTCTTTAACGCCACCATCGTTAATAATTGTTAGGCTTACAAAAGGATCTTTTCTGGGGGTGTCGTCAGAATATGTTTCAAACATTTAACACAAAAAAACACAAAACGATTACACATAGGCCTATCATTTGCAATTCACGCTTGTACATATTGCCGTGGGCAGGACTGGAAGTAAACTGAATCAGGTTATGACGGACCGACGTGGTCTCTGGATTGTCGTCTGCGTTTTCAACAGCTGATATTGGACTATTGAAGTGACTGAGAAGTGTTAAAAATATAATGGATTCATAATTAATTGAGTGTTTTCATTCAAAATTTGTGTGCTGTCCCTAGTTTTTATGTATTTATATATTTCAAACTCTTCCAAAGTATTTAATAAATTTCCTTTCCTGCAGTAATGTAGAATATCGAGACCATCATTTATATCCAGAATATCATGGTTAGGCTATTATTGTTAATAATTTTGAATGGGAAACTCAATTATGAATCCTATTACATTTTCAACACTCTCCGTCACTACAATTAGTCCAATATCTGCTGTTGATAACACAGACGACAATCCGGAGACCACGTCGGTCCTTCATAACCTGATTCAGTTTACTTACAGTCCTGCCAGCAGCAATGTACACATGTGAATTGATAGGCCTATCTGTAATCGTTTTGTGTTAAATGTTTGTAACGTATTCTGACAACACCTCCAGAAGTGGATCCTTTTGTAATCCTGACGATAGTGGAATTAAAGAACCGCCAAAACAAAATGTAGTAAGTAAAATTCGACACTACCGTACATATCAAGGATTGTCTGACAAGATGCGTTTCTACCATTATTATTAGTCATAAAACGCAATCGCGGGGCTATCAAAATGAATTATAAGATTACTTTGTTACAAAAACCTTTTGTCCTGGTGGTAATTAAGGTATTGTGGGCATTTTGCCTGGCGATTTTTGTAGAAGGCGAGAAGAGAATGGCTAACCCCTCCTAGTCTGCCCTATTTCGTGACCCTACCTAATTTTGAAACAAGATACTTTTTTCCATACTTACTTTTCATACTTTTTATTGACCAAAAAGTATTATTCAAAGTTGACCATACAAAGTAGGTATTTCAAGCCAAAGTATTATTCATGTACTTAAAGTTGTTTGAATTCTTAAGCCCTGTAAAAATTTACCCAACCTAATATATTGTTGAACGTTTTTAAGACGTTGTCTATTGCAATACTGAGAACATGTTGACTGACAATACAGATTCTGAATTGTAAATTGAAAAAGTTACTAGGGTTGCTTTCAGAGAGGTGAAAGCCAGTTGAGCGGAACAAACGTGATTTGATATTTGTATAAGTAACTAAATGTAAAAAAGTCAATAGATGTATTATTGCTTGTTGTATTGATTAAAATTATAATAATTCACGGAGGGAAAATTTTACATTTAAATTCAATTGTGCAACATAAACATTGGTCTTCATTTCAACCCTTGCAATCGGTTAAACTCAGCTTTCTTTGCTGAAAATAATTTATGATTGTTAATACCAAGTATTCTTGATATGATTGTAATGTAACTGGAATGTAGGTCTTCCACCATTATTGGGACGATTTAGAGACGGCATTTTAATACTGGCCTTAATAAAACCATTGACCATTGGATACAGAAGATTTTGATGAAAAAGCTGGCTATAAATTTAACATGGGGATGGAATGTCTAGTTGTATTGATAGTCAAAGATAAAACATAGGCTTACGAAAAATGTAGGGCTATTTCAATGCAAGACTCAATGTAAAACACCTTTAAAAGACTAAAATGAACTGAATTATCAATCATGTATTTCAATGTGTAAAAACGTAAAAACTGCAAAAAGACTAATTTTAAACAATAAAATAAGATGGCTGAAATGTAGGCCTAAACATAAGTAATTTAAGTAAACATAGCATTCAGCTGATTTAAGTGAAAACAGAAAAATAATAAGAAGGGAAGACATGCCTTAAATATACAATGTAGACAATATAATTATTGTCGGGACCACATAAGTTTGCAGTTGAGGGAGGAGCCTATTTACCATATGGGTTTGAATGAACCAATGAGAACCGTGCGGTGTTGCCAAATGTAATAATACCAGCTGATTTGAAAATATTGCTTATTATATTTTATTAGTGCGGTGTGGCAACGTTGCACTAGCCATGTCTTGTGATTGGCTGCCACCAACTGCAAACTTACGTGGTCCCGACAATAGAAATTATTAGCCTACTTCTGGACAGGCCTAGACAATTTCCATACCGTGGTTAAAAGTGTACTTCTATAAGCCCAGGTAATTAATTATTTACTTATTATTACGGTTGTAACTGGACGTATGTATAGTCCGTGGCTTGGCAATCAAATAACAGTATTTATATAGGATATGCTACTGTTATCAACATTTGAAATTACTGAATTGTTACCAAATTACTGTTTCACAAAATGCAGATTCCATTTTCAGCCGAGCCATTAAAATGAGGATTTGCCGAACAATTATTAATATTACAGAATAGTATTTAATGATGTACAACTTTTCACATTTCATAAATTATATGTTAGTTTTGCTATGGGCAAAGGTCCAAATCCAAATGTTCTTTTCTTTTGGTTTTTATGTAGTAATTTGCTAGAATCATTGACTTTATATAAAGTCAATGCTAGAATACAGTAGATGGTTTGTTAAGACCATATGCAAACATTTTTGAAATCGTTTCCCCGTTTAACCAACTATTCCAAAAGATAAAAATTATATGGTGCAACACAAATAAACAACTCGATCACCTACCTATAACCTACACTTTACCTCCCTAATCTAACCTTACTTCAAAACACTTAGTCACGAATACACTCATAAACCCCGACCTACCTTCCCCACACGCCTAAATTAGATCAGTGTGCAATCTGCGTTTTATTAATAAGTGTAATAACTTACTGCACCGTCGATGTAATTCAACATAATATAATCAGTGATCTATTATCGGATTAAATATCGATTTCGATGCGGTTCGATATATCGCTTATTAAATCCTGATTTCTAACATTGGCTGTTTCTAGTCAGCTGGCAACACAAATAGGTTCCCAAGAAAGTAGTCACTGGTCCGTATCCCTCCGCTCCTTGTTTATGCTCCGCGCATTGAGAAAGTAGTTCCGTATATTTTCTCGATTTTCAGTGAATTCCGCACCTTAAAAAAATGTTTTAACAGCATTTTCTTGTTTATTGAAATCATAGGAATGGTTTAAAAACGTTTAAAAGAAAAGTATAGAAAGTTCAGAAATACCTTATGATTCTCTTGTTTACATTTTTCTTGTAAACAAAAAAACTGTCATAGCTACTTTAGTCCCATAAGCCTAATGTTAAAAATTTGAAATTTTAAGTTCGTTTTAAATTGCATTAGCATTATCTAATTGAAATTTGTTTGTTTACAAACCATCTCATTATTAGTCTAAGTAGTCTTTTTAAGTTTGGCTGAAATGTGTTCAGCCGTTATTGAGTGATGGTGTTATATTGTTTGCATTGAAGTTGATCCCAAAGAGCTTCGCTCGCTCCACTCAATAATAATTCGTCCATTAGTTGGATATAATTTTGTATTGTTAAATGACGTTTCCTGTTACAAATTTCATTTTGATTATCAGCAAGTTTGTTTTTCTTTACCTCAAGTTTATTAAATAGTTGAAATGCTCATTTTATGTGGCAAGGAGAAATTGCCAAGTAAATTGGCGGGGGTGGGAGGTTTAAATAGGGGGCAGCATAAAATGAGGGGAACTGTTCGTCTGACTTGTGGGGAGGGGGGGGGGAATTGCGCCTTTGGCTTTGGGGGGGAGGGCACCTCTGCAGACACATACTTTCTCCTTCTCCCATTTGCTTATCAACAACTTTTATCATGGGTAAGTGGTGGGAGTAACTATGATATTTTATAAGGAAAATCACAAAAGTTGCATTAACCTTTGAACCGTAGTTTAATTTTTATAGCAATGGGGGTTGCACCACTTTGTTTATAATTATAAGGACCATAACATACTAAATCAAAACCGGCCTTTTCTAAAAATCAGATTTTCGGTTATTTTATGGGCTTTTATGGGAAAATAACATTAGTTACAATAACTTTTGAACCTTAATTTTTACATTCAGAATTTAAAGGTCTAGAACATACAAAATTTTTATACTAACCGTTTAGGCCGTCTTTGAGAAAAATAGATTTTTCTGTTAATTTATGGGTTTATATGGAAAAATCACCAATAAAAATTAAAATTTAACGGTATCAATCTGGCCTTCTGGTTCACATAATTGCGATTTGCAGACTTGCACTTGCGACTTGCACTTAAATTTGCAGAATCCAAAGTCAATTCCAAGATGCCAAGATAGACATTTTGCGCCTCTAGAGATCATTGTTTGTCATTTGGGCCAGATATAGCCAAGGTCTGTATCATTTTCAAAATTCACCAGAACTGCTCTATTTTGCAAAAATAACCAATCCTCTGTGGATTTCAAATCAAATAGTTTTGAAAACCTATTATATTTCAGCTGTGTTTATTTCTTATTTATTTATTTTAATTTTATACATATTGGACCTACGCAATTGTTCTATGTTTTTTTCTAAATAAAATATTATAAAGCAATTTACTAATTTTGTAGCATTTTTAACTCAATGGTACACAAATTTGAAAAATGTTCCTTTTTACAAAATATTTCTGCAGGATTGGTTTGATATGATGGTAGGTCGCTTATATCATCAGCCAAAAGAATTAAATTTAACTGACAGCAGTGCTGCGGTTAGCATATATTCTGGCGTCCACCGCTAGGAGTGCCGTGTAGTTTCGGGGCACACCACTGCAGCGTCAAGTAGGGGTCTGCGGTGCACCGAAAAAGTCGGTACGGTACGGTACAAGCTTAATTACCGTCATCGGTTCGGTACAGCATTTTACACGGTACAAATTCCGTTCGGTACAGCCTATTATAATAATAAATTACTTTCAGTTACTATCGTAGTGAAAGACAGTTGGTTCCGAGCACATAAAAGTCTTATCAGATGTTTGTTTACGACCTTCATAATTTATTACTAGGGTGATGATGCAATAAAAACCCCATTAGCAGTCCCAAGTCCATTAACATTTTATCACGACAATAATTGTTGTATTCAAGTACTTCCAAGAACTGTTGAGTTTTATCACTTTTATTTCTTTACGACTTCCCCAATTCTATTTTATCATGAAAATAATAGTTTTATGATGACTGTTAAATGTTATCTCGAACTCAGTCAGTATTTTCGTGAATATTCAATTTGCCACTGGCCATTGCCTACTGCCATAAAACTGTTTATGGCTACATATTAAACTTGTAACTAATCTACAATCTTATTTTATAAGTTAAAATATTTGTTATAGATATTTTATCTTTCTATTGACGAAACCACAAGCATAGTTGTTGTTGATAGTTGTTGTTGTTGTTTGCATAATTTTTTTTTCGTTATTCAAGCCTACGCCTACTGTCAGCCCAATGTCAAGTCACGCTTGTGCATTGTGCAATAGTTTGTTTACAAGCTTTCTCCAGACCACGGGGGAGGGGAGGGTCTGATAAGCCGTCTATTGTTCACCCCCAAGAAGGTCCGACCCTCATTAGTGCCGCTCGGCTGCACTCAGTGGGGAACCCAATACCACAAATCAATCTTTTAAATAAATACAAATATTTGGTAATAATTGTTTTATTAATATTCACCTTGAAATTTCAATTAAATTTGGTGTAAAATTTGACAAAAAACGGCCAATTTGACCGATTATTAATACAGTACCAAATACCAATAAAGTAGTACATTCATTGGTAATTAAATAATAGGTAAAAATTAACCGATTTTCGTCAAGTTTTACCCCCCTGCTGTGCGCTATGTCACAAAAGCTGATAACGACATGGGTGATTAGTAACCATGGCAACTTGTTGAATGCGTATGAAGGGAAACCCAAGAAATAGAAGAACAAAGAGAAAGAATGACGTTGTTATCTTTATACCCTTTTTACAATTTCGTTATTGTTATCTTTATGTAAGATTTTATGATTTTGTTTTATAGGTTTATAAAATAATTATTTTTAACTACGGGAATATCAATTTATAATTTATCAACGTGCTTCTCTTCTGAAACAGCAATACCGGATGCATAATAAAGGTCAATGACCTAAAATATCACGATTGTGCAATATTGTATTTTGATGTTGAAATTAAAATCACGACAAAAGTTTGTATATATCCATGGTCCCTATAGTTTAATCATTTAATATGTACACAATCAATGCTAAATAATCGTGGTTAGTTCTAACTTTATCTTTTATTATTCAAAGTTTCTACACAGTAAGACAATCCAAAGTCAAACCGGGCAATGAATACCCAAAAAACAACGTATCTTGTCCTGTGATTGGAATACCACTCGCCGGCCAGTCCTTTAGGTTTAGGGAAGTAGTGCAAGTCTATATATAGCTTCAAGGTCTTACCCACCCCTTCCCCCTCCGGTCCTACTTGACTCACTACCCGCGCTCCTTTCGAAGTCATTGCCCAACCCCTCCCACCCTTCTATTAACACAATAGCCTTTCTATCGTTTCTATTCTGACTTTTTTCGGGAAACATTAAATCTATTGTTTACGTAACATCACAGTAGGGTTACCTCCCGCTATCTCCGCGTCCCGCCACCTCCGTGTACCGCTACCTCCGAATTTCAGAGTACCCTATTTTTAAAACCACTTTAATAATGGCTATTCAAAGTATCTCAGAGTAAAATAGGTAAAGCCTTTATCTTAACTGTGATTTTTCTTGACACAATCCTCGTAGTAGTAAAAGGTTTTGTTTTAATAATGTGTGGTACAGTAATTGTTGTTAGAATACCACGAAAGTAGGATACTATCTATTTTCATAGTAATGTCAATGTATTAAAGTTATAAATAATGGTTTAAATACAGTTCTGAGCAGAAAACCGCAAAAATACGGGTAGCCGCGTACCGTACCGATTTTGTACCGAGAACCGAGGTACAAAATATTGTACCGTACCGAACTTAAATTTTCTGTACCGCAGACCCCTAGCGTCAAGTGATAGCGAGCATTGCGATGACAAGCTGGTAGTGCGAGCCAGGGTTGCCAACTTCTGGAGAATTCCCCGGAATCGGAGGAGTAGGAGTTTGTTCCCTTATTTGATCTGTTATTTTTCTTAAAAATTTCCGATGGGTTTTTCCATTAAAATTACAGGATTTCAGAATTTTGTATTCTACCCATATTGAAAAGTGGGTCTGATATGTTGATAGCATTTTGATGGCAAGGGTGGTAGTGCCGGTATCAGACGTTGAATCGACGACGGCAGGGAATCAAAGAACACTGAGCACCCTCTAGCAGCACATTGCAAAACCTTCCTTTGTCAGTCTATATTTAATTCTTTTGTTTATGCGTATATCTTTTGATCATGTAATTACACTTGGTGTTGATGATGATACAGACCCTCACAAACACATATTATTGAACAATGTTGTTTATGACTTCGGTGGATCCGAAAAAGAGCAGTGGTCCTGAACTAAAGTATTGCCACAAAGATAATACCCCCACTTCAGCAAACCTGCCGACAGCAAATTTCCATTTTGTCTGATCGGATTTTTAGTAAAATAGTATGAAATAACTAAATTTATATTTTTAAACAAGGAAACTGCAACAGTTTACTTTTTCTCCAACAAAGATAGTAGTTAGAAAGAATACACAGTGTTATGAATAAAAAAATCAAAGGGAAAGGTTAAGAATCCGAGTAAGCAGAAGAATGAAGCTTGGGTAGAAATGCCAGAAAAGGTAGAAAGTATAAAGAAGGAAGAGAGATGGAAGTCGGCCGATATTGACCGATTTCTCGAATTGTATGAACTTTTCCCTGCTTATGGGATTACAAAGTCCCTGAATATAAAGACTGAAATGCAAAAATACGCTATTAACAATGGCATGACTAGAACACTCACTTTTGTTTGTAAACCTCTAGTGGAATGACACTAAAACTGGCGCGATTTAGTGCGCCACTGCTACATGCTAGTGTAAACCTAGCTTAAGTTGCTAACAAACTAACCTTGATATAAATAAACCATGTGCCTTTCTATACGGGTGAGTGCATACAAGGCACATAGTTTGGTCAAAACTGCTTTTACTGCTTTATCTTGAGCTTCACAGCACTGTTCCCAAAAACATTTGATGATGAAATGCTGCAAAACAAATCATAAAGACACTTAAATCTTAAAACTTACTCAATCGTTACAATATGGAGTATTGTCATTCTTTTCTGACATAAAACAGTAATGTACTGAATATACGTTAAGTACAAAAACCATTGTTTTTATTTCATTTACTGTATTCTACATCTGTATTTGTAATGCTATAGGCAATAGGCATAATTATTATGTTTCTATTAGGCATTTCTAGGTTATGTTTGAAAATCCTAACAAAAAAAAACCTAACACAAAACACAAAATCCTGACAAAGTTTTAATAATATGCTAATTTAGAAATAAATAAATAAACCTCAATCACCTCTATGTACACGATGGAGAGCACTTTGGCATTGAAGACTTGGGAATTGTTTCGGGCTGTAAACAAGTCTTTACCATTTTTTACTTGTGAATTTATTGTCTCAAGAGTTTTCTCTGCTAGCCAACAAATAAGCCATTTATAAGCTTCCATAATCACTGAAACGAAAGGGAAACACTGTTGAATACGACAGTGGAAATAGAAATGTGAACATAGTTTTTGTACGAAACAAGAATGAGTCATCATCTGTCAAATAACTGAAGTAAAGAATTCAAACATTAATTATTTTTGTAAGCGGCCTTTTTTATGCCTTTTGATGATCGTTTCTAGCCCATTGGATAGTCTGAGAGGTTTGAGCAATAACTTGATTTTTTTATCAAAATAGGTAGGCCTAGTTTGTAAACAAAAATTAAATGTATAAAAATGCTATTATAATTTTAAGATTGATGTTCGGCCAAAACATAACAAAAATACTAAACAAATTTTGCAAGTAGGCAATATTAGGTTCTTGACATGTGCTTTCAAATTTAATTTTCAAAAAAAGCAGACATCAACATGAAATTAGCATCTATACTATAATTATTGAAGAAAATTATATCGCAAACCATAAACAAATTTGCTAAAAACCCTAACAAACATGTCACATAAAATAACAGTCTTCTTATACGTAACCTCCGGCGCACACAGAGACAGACGGACTCACACAGACGGACGGACTAAATTTCGCCCCCCATGTTGTCAAATGTAGCAACGCACACAGGAAGCCGTCCAGGGGGAAACTTTGAGATGCTGTGATCGCAGGTAATGGTCACGACCATTGCTGCGACCACGTGAAATCATCATGAATGTTGACGCGATTGCAAGATGATTTCAAATTTTGCGGCAAATCCAAGATACATACGTTCACGGATGTCAGACATCACAACAAAATATCATGGGTTTTGCCGGATCGCGAGTAATGATCACGGAATTGTTGCGAGCGCGAGAAACCATCACAAATTGTATGGCGTTTTTTAAGATTTGTTCATGGATGTCCGAACATTAGAGAAATGACAGGTGTTGCCGCAATCACGGGAAATCATTACCAATTTTGCCACAATCGCTGGAAATCATCACCAATGTTGCCGCAATCACTCCAATTTAAAACTTTGCCGTGATAGTAAGATATTATGATCACCAATGTGGCTGCGATCCAAAAAAATTACATCAAATTTTCAGAAGGGGTTGTGATATACTAGCAGGTTTAAATAAGTAAGTTAGGATTTTTTGAGCGGCGAGTTTTATCCTGGAAATTTGGAACCAGGGAAACCTGTAATTATTGTCCTTAAGTTTCATTTTGATGGGACGCTTACTTGTGAAAGACTGTCATCCTGTTTCACACATGGTTCTGTTTTTTTGGTTAGTATTTTCCAAAATTTTTGGGAATCATGGCTGCAAAACACTGCACACTATTTCACAGCACCGAAGTAGTGAAAGCACGAGATGAAGGGTAGAAGGGATAGTGTGTCTGCTTGCAAACTCCTGTGGCTGTGTGCATTACAAAAAAATCTGTCTGCCAGCAGGATTCTGTTTTCACGAGTCCGTCTGTCTCTGTGTGCGCCGACCTTAAAGCGCTGCACTTAATCACTACTACAGTACAGCTTAAAAAAAATATTGTAATTATTGTACCAGGAGGATGAGACATCTCCTGTACTGTGTTGGCCCTCATGTGTCTCTGCCCTCTATTGTTGTCATACATGAATGTGACAGAACCTAGAGGGGAGGGGAAGTTACCCCTCTCACCACCCCTCCTCCTCCATAGAGACACCAGCCAGTTGCTGGCCTGTTGTTGTAACACGTTGTTCTCCCCTTCGTAAGTACAGTTGCTGTCATTGTTGTCTCGCAGCTCCCCAATACCTGCACCTGAGACAGCAAGGCATGACATCAGTGTAAATTGTTTGTACACAGAACTCGCATACGTGCACTTGCCACTTGCTCACAGCCAAACTATGTTAACTTCAGCTTGTTTTACGTGAACTGTCTCAAATTCAGTAATGGTAACTGTAATCCACTAATTCTTTTTCTTTTCACTAATTCTTTTCCAATACGTCTTTTAATTTTCAGCCCTTTTCCTATATCCAACATATTGTTGCCTGTTTAAGTGGGATTATCGAGGGACTTGTGCCCATTTTAAATTCAATGTTTAAAATCCGCGCCAAGGCAACAGACAACTCTGTCCAATCACGACAAAACACGGAGTGATACGAGTGCAAAGGCCAAAAGTTGCAAGCGACGAGAAAAACCGTTAGCGTCACTTGGAGCAAGGACACTAAAACATTTAGGTCACGTCGCCGGTGTTCGGTGAATTCTATCAATATCTTATTCGTAGCTTGGAAAATTGCGTTCGGGTGAAACTTGTACGTGCGTCGAAATGATAGCAAAGGTCAATAATTCACCGAATTGCTAATTGGGGGAGTGTTTTGTTTTTAAGTCGATTCATTTGAAATCACTGGATTGATGTTGCATTCGTGAGGAAAATTGTACATGCATCGAACTGATCGCAAATGTCTATTTCTCATTGAATTGTAAATTATGGTGACGGTTTTTCAAAAGATTCAAAATCACACCAGCTCGAAAATTAAGAATTGTTCAGTCCAATACCGTGATGAACCGTTGTCGAGAAAATTTCCCCCGGTTGACAATGCTCCTATAGACAATAGACAATAGACAATTTCTTTATTACAATTTCATCAAGAAATGTTACAGCGTCAAATTTTACAGATACAAAGTGAAAGGGGAAAAGCTTCTTCAGTGTTGTGTGTTGTCTTGCCATGCAAAGAACTCATTTAGGGTGTAGAAAGCTTTGTCTACCAGCCATCTCCGTAGCTTCCTCTTCATCAGCAACGGGCCTCCAATTTTCAAGTGGTCTGGTAATTTGTTAAGCATCTTCACACCTGCATACAGTGGTTTCTTTTCAAACATCGCTGTTCTGTGGCCAGGCAGCACGTAGTTTCCTGCATATCTGGTGTTGTATTCATGTATATATCTTTGTTTAGGCGGGTCTTCGGTTACACAGTAAAAAACAGTTTCTAGGATGTAGATGGAAGTCACTGTCAGGATGTTCAGGTTTTTGAAGGCATCTCTACAGCTTTGTTCTTTACTTATTCCTGCTATTATTCTGATAGCCCTTTTTTGCATAACCAGGACCCGGTTAAGATTGTCCATAGTGGATCCACCCCAGACAGTAATACCATAGCGTATATGGCTTTCAAACAATGTATGGTATGCAGTCCTCGTTGCCTCAGGGGTACTAGTCTCTTTGATTCGTTTTATGGCAAAGCGAGCTGGCCCGAGTTTTTGGCAAAGACAAGCTACATGACGATCCCAGGATAAATTTTTATCAATTATGACACCTAGATGTTTGATTTCTTCAGCTGCTGTCAGATTGGGCATTTCAGATACTGTAGACTTTTTATTTCCAAAAGTAATTTGCTTGGTCTTACTTTCATTGAGGACTAAGTCATTTTTCATACAGTAGTCCTGTGTCATATTGAAAGCTATATAGGTGTTTACTTCTAGTTGATCTATGTTTCTGTTTGCTGTAAGCAGCACAGTGTCGTCTGCATACATGACCATCTTGCTGTACTCCTCAAGGTGTTCTGGGAAGTCATTAATAAACAGGCCAAACAGAACTGGCCCTAGGACAGAGCCCTGGGGAACACCTCTGTTAGTCGGTAGCAATTCAGATCTGACAGTATCTGTAACCCCTTTTGTTGTGTGTTTTATTTCTACCATTTGGCTTCGCCCTTTTAGATAACTTGCAAAACCATTTCAGAGCTGTTCGCTGGATTCCTAAGTTTTGAAGTTTAGTTAGAATAAGATCATGTCCCAAGGAATCAAAAGCCTTGCTTAAGTCAAGATACAGGCTGGTGATAGTGTTGCCATTTTCTATGTTCTCAATGATATATTCAACAAGGCCTAGTTAGTTTTAAATGTCATGCGTATGTGAATCTTCGTCAGTATGTCAGTTTGTGTGGTCGACCTGTGTACTTAAGTAAATGTTTTGTATTGTCTGTGTTTTAGTATTGCCAATCTACCATTTCTCACATTTATTCTACATATTTAATTTACACAATCTTGTTCCAGTTGGTCTGTCTAATACATGTCATAGTTGGTCAGTAACGGTTTTTGTCACATATCTTCAGATTCATAATTGTATATACAGTAGACCCCCTCTTAACCAACCTTGTATTAACCGATAATCGGATTATCTGCCTTCGATCGTAAAATAATACAGTTTGTTTTAACCGACCTTGCTTTGATAGCAGTTCGGTTTAACCGCCGCTTTCTAGGAATCTCGGCATATCCGCTCCCACGCTGGGCGATGAGAACTGAACCATACGCTTATCTCCACAGGATACAACTAAGAATAAGTTATTTTGTATTGATCACAAAAAATATAGCACAGCCTATTGTCAGTTTGTCATCATCGTTCATAGCGCGAGCACATCTGATCTGATTTGTTATCTGTACGGCAAATTTATAACATCATAAAGTGCGTTACGATTTTGAAAACTAATTATCTTATCGCTGGAGTAAACAAACAACACTACTTGTGGGGAGGGCAGGGAAGGGGGGTTAACAACTCCAAGGTCAAGATAGTTTTCGTGCCTCGAGCCTCCAGTGAGAGGCTATAAATAAACATCTTGTCTTTTAACAAAATGGTTGCTTGTAGCTTTAATTTTGACAAAAGGTTCTGTACTGTATTACGATGGAATTGGAAAGCATAAATTATAACATTACAGTACTAAAGTTATTAAAATAGGAATTTTTATTGACTCTTGCCTAGTATTATAATATATTTCACTGAAAGTAGGCCAGTTTGACTTAACCGTGTTTTGAAAGGCTAATTATTTATATGCTTTATAGTGACTGTAGGAAAAATATAATGTGTAACATGAGTGAAAAAGGCCTCTGCTGCACTCGAGATCATTCCCACTAGTTACACAAATAACTATAAAATAAACATTTCATCAAAGACTCGACTCAGTAGTCGATCGGCCCCTTTGTATTGAAAATATCAGTGGTACTTTATAAGTCTGTTGGCAAATAAGTCCCTTTTGCACAAACTGGCCGGTTGTAAACCATAAACTTGGGGAGTCTGGTGATCTAAAATATAAAATCAATAACTAAGTTTTCTTTAATTTCCTGGGACAGTGCATGTCTGGGGAGTTGATAGGACAAATTACAATTATCACATTCATATCCCCCACTAGGATCAAATTTGTTTTTCCTTTGATGCATTATTTCTCCACCATATTGTAATATTGTATGCCGCACTTGTAAAATGATTAAAATTTTATAATATACAATCTTTTTCAAATACCTACCATCTTTAATTTCCTGCAGTTTGACCATATAGTGTCTATTTAAAGAGTGACATATTTTAGAGAGTAACGGCTTAACCAAACACATCATCATACAATCACTTTGATTAATATTGCATTTTGTCTGATTATTCTAATATCAATCAAGAGTAATATAAATAACTAGCTGTGTGCCCGTTCTACGCACGGGGATCTTATATTAGTCAGTTGAAACCTTATTATATAAAGAACAGCAGTTGGCTTGCATATTTTCAGATGTGCTGGCAAAACTAAACCTAATATAATGACATATCAAGAAAAAGCAAAACTTATACAGTAAGACATCAGTTAAATTGGATACTACTGTAATAAATAAGGTGCAACACTAACGATAACTAATTTGTAAATAGTGATGTGTTGGTACATAAAAATTATTCTTGTTGATACCACCAAGGAAAAAACCAGTACCAAAAAACCAACGTTTACAGTTAAGAACTATAGTACATCCGACCAATTAAATGCGTTAATCCAGTTCCGAGGCTATCGATCTCTCTTGGTTTTGGTTTTTCTGACAAAAAGTTATCGAAAATCTAAGTTATTTCCTATTAATTGAATTTTATTTGTAAACAGCTTTTAATATAAACATTTTGGTGACAGTTTGAACTAAACAACCTCATCCAAACAGCTTTTTGTTATTTAAAAGGTCGCGTATTCTCTAAACTATGTTTCGTACATGTAGTTAACATGAGAAGGAAATGTGAAAAAAATCACACAATGTTGTGTTTTTTAACGTTTTTAATTTGATTTCCTAAGTAGGTAGGCCATGTATTGTAGGGAAAAGTACCGGTATCAAGGATCGTCGTCGAATAGGTTGTCATGAATAATTGGGTAGGCCTACGTACCCAAGATACAGTCTATGGGCTTATAGGCTGTATGGTCCAGTTATTGCAGCACATAGCGGTGAGTAGAAACCGAAAGAGACACATTGGAAAAGTGAGTTTATAGCATCATCCGTAAACCGGCAAACCTCTGTTACTATCACCCACTGCAGTTATGATTTTTCACTTTACACTTCACACAACCGCCATTGAAACGCCGTCAATTAGTGAAATCCTTGTTAGTAAGCTATTGGCGACGATGATTTTATAAAAAATGTAAGTTCCCAGCCCTATACAACACTGATTCAAGGTCTTTTTCCCGGCTATCAAAACTTCAGAACAATTTTATACACAAAGAATCTCTAATTTAATTTACGGTTACAATACACATTATTGAACTTTCGATTAATTAAATAAATTCTTTATGTAAGAAAATCTTTCTTTATGAAAATCGTTTTTAATCTCATATGGTTTGGATTTTGCTTTCAAAACGTTATTAGACATTTTTGAGGTATTTGTAAACAACATTTAATGTAAACATATCAGTGGCAGCTAGAAAAAATAATCTTGATCCGAACAGCTGTTCGTTATTTCATAGATGGTTATCTGATGGACATTGGGAGAAAACTTGACAAAAATCGCACAAAATCGGGTTTTTAAACATCCGTCATTTTATTTAAAAAATAGTGAGGCCATATTTTAATGGCTAAAGACAATCTCGCCAATCCAGTGAATACATTAAAATGATTTGGATCTTGATAGGTACTCTCGTTTTTCAGGAGAAGGCCGCGTAAAATGCCTCTTGGGCCTTAACAGACAGACCGACAGACAGAAATAGAGATGAGACTTGTTTCGGCTTCTTTAATGTATAAAACGGAAAAATAATGTAAAAGTTTATAATTTTTAGCAATGTACAGACACAACTCTAATTTTATTTAAATAGATTTTACCAATATCTAACAACATTCAACAATTCAATATCATTTAAAGATCCAGTATTCAGTTTTTTTTATCATTTTTCAAGGTTCAAGTGTCACATCATGGGTAATTTTAATTTTTAAGAAGGTGTTAATATTAAGAAGTGTTAGTAGTTCAAGAAGGTGATTGGAGGAGGACAGTAAACAGATCTCTCTTGATCCCACATACAGACTTCTGGGGTAATGTAATTATACTGGCCTACACTCATAACATCAAATATTCCACTGCGCAGGCTCTGTGTGATTAATGTCTTCATAAGTCGTATTTAAATTAAATTAAATTCATTTAAACCCCACCAGAAGGCAACTTTTTATGTTTTCATAACTTTATGGAATATTAAATTATATAACATATAGGTGTGAATAAATTTGCATTTGCAGAGATCAATCAATTAGTAGTAAAGATCTCTTTTTTTCTTAACAGGCTACTGTACTAACACCTGAGGTAGCCGTGCCCCCCGCAGGCCTCTCTGCAATCTTGGATCGCCTCAGCCGCAGTCCAGCTAGCCACAGCCTTGGCTGCTGATGACAACACATGCATCTCCATCAACTCATCTGCCTGAGGAAACATGGATTTTTGCAAGTCAATTATTGTTGAAAGCTATCTCACCACGCCATGATGTGACAAAAATTCTATTAGTTTAAGCTACAGATTAAAGATCTTAAAGATACAATCAAGAAAATAATAAAAAAATCACCATACAAAAGGTTTTGCATTTAATATTTTATATTGAAATCCTAAAATGATTTTCAGCTTCACCCAAAGTCAGGATAGATTAAAAAATAAGGTAAAAACATCAGTCTTCATCTATCTGGTGTTTTTACAGGTCATCAAAAGTGTGGGGAGTACCAATAAATCAGCATTTGACATTTTTATCTTTCTCATCTATATATATAAAATCCAATGTATGTTTGTTTGTATGTATGTTTGTTTGTTTGTTTGTTCTTTATGGACTCCGAAACCGCTTGACAGATTGTAATGAAACTTTCAGGCATTATTAAGCATTATTCAAGAATGGTTTGTGTGAAGTTTGGTACAGATCCGTCAAAAGGGCTCCGCCCCAGTGGCTCTGGAGTTTTCCATGTTAACCTTATGAGTACTCATATTTAAATGGAATTAAAGAATCTTAACAGCTGGTTCAACTAAGCAATTTGATTCTGTGATGTTCAATAGCATTAAAAAGTTAATAAGTTCACCAACAGAGTGCAGCACGATTATCTTTTTTAAATTTATGACAACAGCTAATTTGCAGCCAAAAGATGAGTGAGCGTAGCGAACGAAATTCAATCAGGACATGATTGAGCCATGCGAACGAGCTCATCTTGAAAATGAACGAGCATTCAACATAAAACCACATTAGGACAGGACGACATCTGTCGGGTCAGCTAGTTGATTATAAAATGTGCTTAAATATATCTTCATATGCATCACATTCCATTCTACACTCATCCTTCACTCATATTTGGGTTAATTAAGACTCACACATTGGTGTAGTCTCCATCTCAAATTATGATGATAAAAAAAGAGATATATTTGTGAAATACCACTGACTAACATATAATAACTATCTCTCACAAAATATACTACCTAGAATTATCAAATTTGGCATAAGGGATTTCTGTACGGTGTAGATGTGCAATAAGAGGGGGTTTTTACATCATTTGATATTTAAGGAGGTTTGGAAGGAGGGGGGGGGGCGTTTTCAGTAAAATTATACAATGAAAGCCTTTATATTTTAGTTTGTATAAGCTAAACCAATGCTTGAATTTGAAATCTGATGGGAAATGGTTTGTGTGAAAATCAATGATCAACAACTCATGTAGGTATTTAAAATTATTTTCAATCTCAAATGGGTTTTGACTAAAATCAGTTTAAAGTTAAAACTATGAAAATATACTTTTTCCTATTTTTGAGCCTCAAGATAAGGCAGTTACCATGATAAGCAAACTTACTTTTGCACTGTTTAGGTAAAAAATAAAAAATCTTAATAGATTTACCAGAAATTGAAAATTACCTAGTCAAATACTTAACTTGCTTAGCATGTCAGCAGGGTCCTGAATGTTCTTGAAGATGTCAAACCTTGTGACGTTCATAAATCTGGTTAATGCTTTTAAAGCAAAAAGTGAGGCCAGATGGGGAAACAACCTCCATTGCTAAAAACAGGACAATGGTTTAAGTAATTTAAGAACCATTCTAAGCAGACAAAACAATCATACATTAGCCAAACAATAATGATTAAGAATCATCTTTTAGATAAAAGGGGACTTTTTGTTATTTTCTAAAGCAGAAAAAATAACAGTACCAGGATATCAAGTATGTCACAGTAAACGAAAGATAGAAAATCTTAGCAAATATTGCTTGGACAAATATTGCAAATATTGCTTACTCACAATTATTTACTCATACAGTAGAGTAGACTCCAATTATCTATGATTTGATTAACAATGCTGGGGATTAACCACAATGTCAAACAAATTAAATTTTACCATAATATATTATGCATGATACATATACGTAATTGTATACGTAAGTGTAAAACAAAGTAAGAATGAGGTACACTATTTTAAAATATTTTACTATAACCTAACCTTAACCTGTTTAAAGTTTACAAAGTCAATTTTAGTTATTTCAGAGTCATTTTAGATTAGGTTTGAATTATACACAATCAATCAGCCACTAATTATTATTGTTAATAATGAGAATGTTCTGTATCACAATAAAGTGATTTTCAGCAGGATAAGAGACCCAATACCATTGTTCAGTAAAAGGCCAGCTGACCATATGAGCATAATCCCCACATGTCAACAACAATACAATAATAAAAATTTGAAAATGTAAACATTCCAAGGTAAACATTCTGGTTCAAAAAGTGCAATTTTTCTCTCTTGTAATATCGTTTCTTTGTGTAACATAATTCATTTCTCTCTCTTTTTATTTTGACTTATTTCATTTACCTTTTCCTTTTGTGTTCATTAAATAAACCTTTTTTAATTTGACTCTAAATTCTGTGTACTGTGAGAACATTTGGACATTCATGAAACATATCTTCTCAACTAGAGACAACATCCGACCAGATCTTCTTTCAAGACCTTAATAACGTCAAAGTGGTAACATAACTATAGTTCAGTGTTAAAAGTTCAACCAAAAGTCCATAATATTTTCTGTTGTCAAAATTAAATTAATAACCCATATACAGTCCACTTTATTATTTCTACAATAACCTTTTGATTACGCTACATCTTTGGTCCGTTCGCGTCGGATTGTTGATTAACCAATTGATTGGATTAATTATTTGGACTTTTGGTGAAGATTAAAGACGAACATAACCTCATAAACTCTCAATATTGTCGTTCCCGCATATTTTGTACTCCCCCTCTACCTCTATCCCTCTCACTCTCTCGATCACATTAGCCTAATAGGCCTACTCCAATGACTGAAAGACTCTGTGACATTATAGTCATTTTGTAAACATTGTACCAATCCTTCAGTGTTTATATTTTTTGTTGATTGGTTCCGAGTTTAGGCCCACAAAAGGTTTAATTGAACTAGCCTAATTCATTTTGTTTTATGTAACGAAGTGAAATAACTTTTGTGCCTTGTGTATTTTGACTGTATTTGTGTTCAATGATGGCTCCTGTTAACCTAGGCCCTATTAAGGTTTCTACCTATGAAAGACTAACTAAACAGTTCAAAGTTAGACTTGGAAAAATTCAAGAAAATATAGATTCTATTAATGAAAGTGCTAAAGCAAACAACCTATCCTCTGTGCAAATAAAATCACTTCATAACTATTTAGATGAAATCAGGAAAAAGCGAGACGACTTTGAACTAAATTTCAGGCGCGTTTTTGAACATTGTTCTGACGAAGAAGTCGATGACATTATTCTAAATGATGATGAAAACACTATTGGTGAACTATGTATCCATCTTTGTAGTACTATAGAGTCACTAATCCCTGTTGACGAACCTCAATCTCCTCCTCAAGAAATGGTGAATAATTCCAACTGTACTGCTTTCATGCAACCTGTTCGCCTACCGCAACTTGACTTGAAAACCTTCTCGGGAAACTCAGTGGATTAATTTCATCAATCTTTTTGATAGCACTGTACACCTCAACACATCTCTGTCTCCAGTATCAAAATTTCAATACCTACTAAGTTGTCTAACTGAAGAACCTCTCAATTTAATTAAAAACTTGAACATCAGTGCATCTAACTACGAAAGTGCATACAATTTGTTGCGCGATCGATACCACAATCACAGACGCTTAACTGCTTTACATTTAAATGCCATATTGGATCTTCCCATTGCTACATCTGAAAATACAAAATCAATACGTGAATTTCTAAATCATTTTCTGGAACATACACAATCACTTATTGCTTTAGAAAGTGACATCACTACAAATGACAATCCTTTGCTGTCAGCTCATTTGCTCCGTAGACTTGATAGAAATTTACGGCAAAAACTTGAACATTACCGCTCATTCAAATCATGTGAAACTCATTCGTTACCATCTGTGGATGAATGAAGAATGCTCAAACAGTGAAGATGCCAACATACACTCTTCAACTTTTTGTCACAAGGCTAATTCAAAGCCTGCCCTTACATCTAGTAAAAATTACTCCAAACCAAGCACCCGCTATACTGCACTTGTAAGCTCGGGTGATCACTCCACTTCTGTAAAGACATTTCCATCATGCTTTGCCTGTCAACAAACCGATCACAAAATCTACATGTGTAAGGTTTTTGCTAAGAAATCTCCAAACGAGCGTTACAAACTTGTTAAGGAGCAAAATAAATGTATTTCATGTCTTGGCAATCACACACTCAAAGATTGTCGCTCAACAGGCACATGTCTTAAATGTAAACAAAAACACCACACCTTGTTACATTTCGAAAATGTTGTAAAGTCGGTGCAGCCTCCTCCTGTAGCCAAACCCTCAAAACCTTCAACTGCTACACCTTCTGTAGTCGCTTCTGCTCAACCAGAAATGTCGCTCTCGATTTCTCAGCCTGCAACTACGGTACTTCTAGGCACCGCTCTCATTAAAATTACCGCTACTAATGGAATCTCTCATGTCTTTTGATGTCTGCTCGACAGTGGAAGTCAACTCAACTTCATGACAGAGAGGGCTGCACAGCTATTAAACGTCTCTCGTCACCGCTCTACTCACACAATCGTGGGAATCTCTGCATCGCAATCCTCGACAAAGGGACATGCACTCCTAGAACTATCCATACTAGGCAGTGAAGTAATTGCTTCAAATCAACCTTTCCATATTCTAGATAGAATTTCCGCTCCTTTGCCTCGTACTCAACTCTCTTTTGAGGTTTACAAACTGGTAAAACCTTTTGTCCTCACAGATCCGACCTTTCATATTCCTCAGAATATTGACATTCTCATAGGAGGTGCTTTGTTTCCAGAACTTCTTACTCATCAATCCTACCCATTGGGCTCAAACCTTCCATTCGTTATTGGAACACGATTGGGATTTGTGTTAATGGGCAATGCACCAACTTTGTCTAACTCTTCTCCCACCTCATGCCATTCGTCTCTACTATCCACTACGGACGAGCTACATAATACTCTACTTCGCTTTTGGCAACAAGAAGAGGTACCGCAGTGCAATCTTATCTCTGAAGATGATCGCCTCGCTGAAGATCACTTCAAATCAACTCACTCCCGCTCTCCAGATGGAACATATGTTGTTCAACTCCCTTTCAAGGACCAACATCAACCTCTGGGCACTTCAAAATCTGCTGCTGAACATAGACTTCACTCAATTGAACGAAAGTTTGAATCCAACTCTAATTTCAAAGAATTGATCCCCTCTCACTCCTGGCGCTACGTTCCCTCAACGGACAATCCCGCTGATTGTGCGTCACGTGGTTTGCTTCCTGCTCAACTCATTGATCATCCTCTATGGTGGAATGGCCCTCCATGGTTAATTCTTTCAGATGATCATTGGCCATCTAATCGTTTCATTCCCATAAACTTGCAAGACACTCAAGAATGTAAAACTACTCCTCTAAATGTCCTAGTTTCAACCCAACCTCCAGAATGGGATCTTCTCTCCAAGTACTCATCGTGGTCCAAACTACTTAGAGTAACAAGCTATGTCTTGCGGTTTATCCACAATGCACGTAGCTCCGACCGAAGACATGGGCATCTCACCGTCTCTGAACTTAAGAACTCAGAGCGTACGATCATCAAGTGTGTACAAGCTACATGTTTTACGAACGAATTGACTCTACTTCACAAAACCAAACCCAGTACCTCTAATCTTCAACGTTTAGACCCTTTTCTGGATGCTTCCGGCATAATTCGTGTGGGAGGCCGGCTTAAGAAGCTATCGCTGAAATTCAACGTCAAACACCCAATAGTACTTCAAAAGAAGCACCATATCGTTGATCTTCTCATAGACGTTGTCCACACTACTCACTTACATTCCGGACCACAACTGACCCAAGCAATCCTTTGCCAAAACTATTGGATTCTTTCGGCTCGTCGAGTCATACGGACACGTATTCATAAATGTGTAAAATGTTTCAAAGTGAAACCAAAGAACATCACTCCTCTCATGGGAGATCTTCCTACCGCAAGAGTAACTCCAGCTCAACCATTCACTACCAGTGGCGTTACCTATTGTGGTCCCTTTGATATGAAAGTTGTTATAGTGTTCCCTCTCCCTCAAAACTAAGCCATACAACTTAGAAAGACCTGTAAATAGCTGTAAATAATATTCAGAATATTCTTCAGTGCTCCGTTTTTTACACAATTTGGTGTTCATTGTTATAAAACTATCGTTTTATGGAGGCCGGTATGTTCAGTAAAAGGCCAGCTGACCATATGAGCATAATCCCCACATGTCAACAACAATACAATAATAAAAATTTGAAAATGTAAACATTCTGGTTCAAAAAGTGCAATTTTTCTCTCTTGTAATATCGTTTCTTTGTGTAACATAATTCATTTCTCTCTCCTTTTATTTTGACTTATTTCATTTACCTTTTCCTTTTGTGTTCATTAAATAAACCTTTTTTAATTTGACTCTAAATTCTGTGTACTGTGAGAACATTTGGACATTCATGAAACATATCTTCTCAACTAGAGACAACATTCGACCAGAGCTTCTTTCAAGACCTTAAT